TACATTTATGGGAAAAATCTAAAAGGATCTACTCATAGCTTGACTAAATGATAAATGAAACAGTGAGTCATATCTTACTGTTTAACCCTGGGCAAGTTATTTAACCTCTGTGTGCCTCATTTTCCCAAATGTGGATAATAATAGCATTTATCTCACAGGGTTGTTGTAAGGATTAAATGAGAAAATATTTGTAAAGCATTTAGCGCAGTGCCTGACACACAATAGGAATTTATTAAATACTTGTTTCCTGTCTTCCTTCCTCCCTCCCTCCCTAAAGTGGGAGTGATAATCCTGGCACTTACCTCCCCCTGAAAGTAAGAAAAGTGCTTTGTAAACCCAAAGGTATTGTGTAAATGTGAGCTCTGATTGTGAAGGGTGCAGCCCTGTGGTGCCTATAAAGCCTGGCACCTGATTCAGTTGGGTATATAACAAACAAACAAAGCTTGTTTGCTTTAGTAGCAGTCAAGAAATGCTGCTCTGCTGGCTTAATATTTGAAAATGCTCTAATTTAATGTCTACCTATTGTGGATAATAAACATGTGATCTGGACAGAGATATATACAATAAGAAGACTAGTTAAGACTCCAAATGATTCAAAGGAAGTTGAGGGGAGGGGTTTGGGATGTGATCTCTTGCTTTCCCTAGCACAACAGGCTGATAGCCAATACACCAAGGCATTTCTGCATACAGGCCAGGCAAAATCCTCTCTTTAGATTTGTTGGAATAGAGGTAGAGGTGGAGGAAGTGGGGAGACAGGGAAATCAACCAGGCACAAAAGTGAATGGAATTCCCAGAAATATCCCCTTACAGAACAGGTACCCTTATAATTCATATTTTAGCTTCTCAGAAAAGTCCAAGAAGGCAAATTTGCGCATGGGGAAAAGTATGCCTAGCCAGGTCTTGAAGCAGAACTTAAGTATGTGGCTATAGGTAACTTCTGCTCATACCCATTATTAGATGTATCCTCCCATTTTCAGATCACCCGTTATAAATCCAGAGCCGTCCTTCACTGTGGCTCTCCTAATATAGGACTGGTAACAAGGCCTGGGTATGGAATCTTTCTATAAAGGCACAGAGGATATGACTCACTGTTTCATGCATCATTTAACCAAGTCATGAGTAAATTCTTTTAAACTTTTCCCACAAATGAATCCCTCCATCACCATCTGCTCATTTTAGGAGTATGAAATATTATAAGGCCATATTTGTCATATCTATTCCCACTTATTTATAATGAAAGGGTTTTTTTTTCTTCTGAAACTTGTGAGAACTTGGGCCACTAGAAATGGGTACAAGTTGTCTTTCAAAACCCTAAATGGAGTAAGATTATGTTTTTCTATCCAGGAGCTCTGCTCAGTAGTCTCTGTACATTAGAAGGAACATCACAAATCATGCCACAATCCTCATAGACCATTTTCCCCCTTTTTTTGAGGGAGGTTTTAAGAGGGGAATGGATACCTAATTTATTTTAAATATATTTTATTGTTATATTTTGCTTCCGAGAGACATCCTTTGTAAGACATAACTTTTAAACCAAAAAAAAAAAAAGGAAAAAGAGAAAAAAAATCCACAAAACCAATCAATACATTGAAAAAAATCTGACAATGTATGGAAGGTTCCACACTCATAAACCCCACAAACACTACCTCAACAAAGTAGTAGGGAGGGGTGTCTTCTCATGTCTCTTCTTTGGGTCCATGCCTATTAGTTTAAATTTTGCAATATTCATTTCTCACAGGTTTGTGCTGGCTGTCTTTTCCTGTTACATTTACAGTCATAGGTATGTTGTTTTCTTAGCTCTGCTTTACTGTATCAGTTCATGTAAATAGAACCATGCTTCTCTGGAGTTATCACTTGGAAGCCTAATTTATCCAATGTGCTGAAAACCCAAGTGCTAGAGAATAAGACAGTGACAATTAGGTTTGTTAAGGACGGCTATTAATGCTAGTTCAATTATCTTTCCAACATGCAACTTCCCTTTTCTGATACCATCAGGTGTTTTTGTGACATAAACCCATATTTAATAATGGGACTTTTTTCAACACAATTGCAAAACAATGCAGATGGATAAAAGTCCACTGTCCTACAGGAATTGGTATATGTATAAGTATCTTCATGATAGACCAAAACTGCTATTTCCGATTTAGGGGAAAGAGCTCATGATTTACAATCTGAGGATTTGGGCTTCAATCTTGGCTCTACTAATTACTCCAGGTACAATCTTGGAAAAGTCAATTAACCTCCTGGGTCTTAGTTTCCTCATATGTAAAATGAGGGACTAGATGGCATCTAACACCCCAGCCTACTCTAGCTCTATGATCTTATGATTTGTAAAGCAAAAGACTTGGAATATATGACCTCTAAAGTCTCTTTCAAATTAATGATCCTATGAAAAACATATCTTAAATTTTTATGCAAGTATTGACTTCACTAGATCATAAAATAAAATTATTTGAGTAAGTAAATATTGATAAACATCAAGTTGAGAAAGTGAAAAGAAAAGGTGGAAGGAAATAAGCATTTATATAGCATTTACTATGTGCTAGGCACTATGCCAAGCATTTTTATAAATATTATCTCATTTGATCCTCACAACAATCCTGTGAAGTAGGTGCTATTATCATCTCTATTTTATAGTTAAGGAAACTGAGGCGAATAAGGTTAAGTGATTTGCCCAGAGTCAAAGAGCTAGTAAGTTTCTGAGGGCAAATTTGAACTCAGATCTTCCTGACAACAGCCCACTGTTCTATTCACTATGGCACCTGCTACCTAAATTCAAATGGATGTTTTCAAATCTGGAACCCTGAATTATCTTCATTTTTGAATGTGTTTTAACCTCTCCCATCCATTTAAGCACTGATATAAGGCAGGTTTGCATTGATGCAAATTAACCCAAAGACTTACTGTCAAGTCATCAAACTTTTAATAAGTTCCTTCTATGTGCCTGGCAATGTACTAAGCTCTGGGGATGCAAAGAAAGGCAAAAGGCAGTCCCTACTCTCAAGGAGTTCACAGTCAATGGCAAGTCCAACAAGACCACATTACAAAATTTCCTGGAAAAGTCATTCTGGTATTGGTTACTTGATATATAGATGACCCTCTGCCTTTTTGTTTCTGAATTATCCTCATGTGTTTCATCAACCCACACTCTACCCAGCTATTAACTCTGTTTTAACTGAGTTCTAATTGATGTGGAGACACTTTAATTGTTACTGAGCTGATTAAAGAGACTTGCTGCCTTCAACAGAGAAGAAACCTCTGTGCCAACCCTGACCCAGGTAGATGAGAAATACTAAAAGGCCCACCTGCTCAAAACCATCTCCAATGCAGCCCCACCTGCCCTAACAACATCTCTACCACTGCTACCACCTCTTCCTCCAATTGGAAATTCACTTGGATTAATCAGATCCTCTTTTCTAAAATGCAAAAATACCCTGGAATACCTGACAACCACTCAAACCTGAGCTAGCATAATAATAAACTAGTCTTATAAAATAATCCATATATATATATATATATATATATATATATATATATAATATATATATATATATATATATATATATATACATATATACCTAACATCAGTAATAGTCTAGGAATTGGTTAGATGGGGAAATGATAGCAGTAATTTTGGGGCATGGGGCACTTTGAAAATATCTAGAGTCCTCAGGAGAGACACAGAGGTAGAAAGGACATAGGTAGAGGCAGAGACAGACAGAGAGAGTTAGAGACAGACACAAAGAGAAATGCTGGAGATGTGAGATGAGATAGAAATAAACATATAAGTGAGATAGAGAAATATCCTTGGTCTCAGAGTCAAAAGATTCTTGTTGAATTAATTAATTCAGCATGAATGATCTAAGCTCCTTACCATCTGTGTGACCTTGGCTTCTCAGAGTCTCAGTTTCCTCATCAGTAAAATGAAGAGTTGTACTAGAGAGAGCATCTAAGATTCTTTTCTGTGATGGGGAACAGATTGTGGAAAAAGCGAAGTACCTCAAGAGAGTATGGTGACCTGGGACCATTGGCAAGAAGGCAGAATGTGGGAATGAGGTTCATAGAAAGAAGGTTCTTGCAGAAAAAAACTTGGCTATCTTTTCATTTGACTTAAGTCCCAAGTGGCAGTTGGTTTGTTACTGAAAATGACGCTCAAGTTGCCTTTAGCTCATCAGGGCAAAAAATCTCATGACTAATTTAGAAGGCTCAAAATATCACCATACCTAGTTTAGCCTAGTCTTTCCCTTCCCATCTTATCCAGCCTCTAGTTTCACTCCCCAACTCAATGGATACATGACCAATTCCCCCCATTCTTCTTAAGTTAAAAGGGACAAAATGATATACATAAACTCCTATACTAAAGTAGGTCAGACTACCACTTCTTCGTGCCCCTTCTCCTGCTTGGCTCCTCCCACATCCTCACTCTCATTCTCCTTATTACAGACACATTACCCTTGTGAATTTTCCTCTCCACCTAGAGACTCCTACCTTTAATCCTGGAGAAGGCTATATTAGACAAGCTTTCAGATACAGCATGATCTTATTTTAGACAGTGTTAACTCATGGTAGCCAAGTCATAGTAGACTCTCAAAGTTGATAAAGTCCCCAAAATTTTAACAGTGGAATTAATTATATCATTTATTCTTACCTATACCAATATCAGCATCAGATACCATTCCTCTGATTTTATTAAATGGATAGAGTAATTAAATAGATATGCATATAGTTTTGCAACCATAGCACATCCTTTTATTGAGAATCCACTATCCAGTTTAGCTGGATTAATTTGTCAAGAAAATATTCACAAAAATGTCATATTCTTCTGGAATACAGAAGAAAGAAGATTGAATATTTATGTTAAGTACCTTCCTGATGACTGTGGCTACAAGTATCCACAGCTATTAAATCTCCTTTTCTGGTGTCTCAATAAACTCCAAAGTATAACACTGGAAAAGTCAAGTGAACTAGTCTTAAGGTTAATAATAGTCATTACCAAATACTTCCTTAGAACAACGTAAATTTTTATTTCATTTTTTCTTCTAAGTTCCATTTCCAATTATACATCTGTTGAAAGGAGGGATGCCAAAGGCAATGCAATCACAGCAACTCCACCAAATGCATATGTTCTGGGCTGCTGCTGCTGAAATGAGTTAGAGATCTCTTAACTGTCTTTTGTTTAAAGACAACCAAGATGAAATATAGCAAAGTCTGAGATTATTGTTTTATTATAAAGTCTGTCCAAGTCAACAGCCATTCTTTTGTGGTCATTGTGGCTGTTTTGGGAAAAAAATCAAATTTAAAATCTCTGAAAATACAAGACAGTATAGGCATTTTGGATGCTTACATATAAATATATTCATGTAGATGGGTGTGCAATTTAATACAAATGTGGACAATATTTCTTACAACATCCAACAAATATGTTTCATTTTACTTTGGCGGAAAGGTCACAAAGTTTTCATGTTTCTCTCCCCTTTCATATTTTTTAATGTGACTAGTTTATGGACTGAACTATCATACAAGCACATGACTGTCCTACAGGAAGCAGTAACTGAAAAGGAGTTTATACCCCTCTGATTTACACGGCAATACACTTTGCATAATCAAGTGCAATGTGGATTGATGAAGTGAGAATTCTTATTACTACAATTTTGGCATACACTCACTTATCCCACAATATTTAAATGACCAGTCGATTCAGTCAAATAATTAGCTTTTCATGGTGGTAAGCAACCAGCTCTGACTAAATTGACTATACATTCTAACAGTACTTAGATACAACCATGGTCACTGCCTGTGTGGGAGTCACCACCATATGTTTAAATATACAGTTTCTCTGTGGCTGCTAGAATTTGACTTAACTGTCACTTATGCCCAACAGAAGTACAACAGCATTTACAATGGCATATACAAATACAAATAGATTAATAACATCAACACAAATTATTGAGCCCTATGAACATCCCAAGTTTGATTTCTGCATGGGAGAAACCCCAGAGCAAATGTACTTGAGAAGCCTGCTAAGACTGATGGGTTGTTTTTTTTTAATGCCCTGAAGTTTAAAGTCCAGCCCCAAAGACAAGGTGTCAACAACACCAGTTAGTTTCCCTTTGTATTGAGAATACATACGACAATCTGAATAGTGTAATGTTAAGAGCTATTATCTCAGTGAAAAACTGCAAAGTAGGAAGGTAGGGAGTGTATTTTGATAATTCAGTTCAAAAATCTCCTTTGCCTGAGTTTCCAGCAGTTAAGAGAGGCTTTTTTTAAAATAAAATGGTGACTTGCAGAAAGTAGCTCAAAAGAATATAGATCTTACCTAAGTGATGGGTGGGGTAGGGTTTTTGGTTTTTTTCTACGTAGATGGATTCTCTTATAGGTCTTTTATTTACTGAGATTATGGATTTTCCATCCTTCAATTTGTGGCCCTATCTAGAAGAAAAAAATGGATCTTTCAGAGCTAAGCTGAGACCACAACCAAAGTACTAAAGCAGAGTTTGTAAAGATTTAAAACTTTTGAATATTCCAATTGTTACAGCTTCGTGAGGTATCATAACCAGGACCAGAGTTTCAGAATACAAGTTTAAACCACTTCTCAATATAATTTGCTCTACACAGTAATGACTTTGTAGAGTGCCGTCTTTTCACCCTCCAAGAGCTACACGAAGGGCTCTGTCTAGGATGGTCTCGAATTAAAACAAAATTTATCTGTATCTTAGCTTTTTTTTTCTTTTGCTGTCCCCAGTGCTATCCTTTTCTAATAGTCTTTGTTTTTGCTACATTTAAAACATAAAAGATGAGGAAGCAAATATTCAACAGTAACACTGATGTTACGGCTCTTATTCCATGTCAAGTGTTTCTGTACCTGGCGGTTACTTAGTGACCCTTAGTGACTTCACAGGCTAGTTAACAAGGTAATCTCTGGTGAAATGAATGTTTGTGCAAATAACTATCTCATGCATTTTAAAAATTTTGTACAAGTCAAGGTTATACATTTCCCCTCCCTTTTCCCCTCGCCCCATTCCTTAACCAATAGGAGCTGTTGCTATTTCATCTCTCTTCTGCAAGTCGGTTCCACTGAATTGGACTAGAGATTAAAGACAAAGACAGCTGTCTAGTTAAACAGGGTGAAGGAGGGATTTATCTAACACTAGAGGATTGCATTCATAAGTAAGATAGCAGCAGTTTGGTCTGAGTCACCCATCATACTCTCCATTTACCCGGAATTTAAATATGTAAAGTGACAGGTACATGAATTAGGAATAAAACTAAAGCAGTTTGCAAACTTTGGCACGAGCACACATAATACTTAGTTTGCTTTGTTAGCTGTGGCTTGACAATAGCTAAACAGGAATGCAAAATTACATATCTGCAGAAAACAAACACCCAAGGAGTTCTGTTCTCCTAGTCAAGTCTGCCCATCGCCCAGCTAGTTTCAAGTATAAAGAAAACAATAGGGATTGTTCAGAGCAGAATTCCGCAACGCAGTTAACTCTTCAGGCTTTCTTCTCCATCAGAGACAAAATTAAGGTCCAGGAAACTAAATCCATACGCTCCTCTGACTGTGTTTAAATACTTAAAAGAGAGAGAGTTGCGAGAAGTAAACACTTGCCAGTTTCATTGGATTGGAGTAGGAGAGAGGAGTGAGATCAAGTTTTTCCCCCCACTAGCACAGGAGGATAAACTTCTATTATAAGCACTGCCTGCAGGGAGGAGATAGGAGCTCGGCAGGTTTCCAGGTACCCGAAACTATAGACTGACAGTGACTCCATACAATGGTCTTTCATGGGTAAGTATCTCCCATTTAAATGCTTATTAAAAAAAAAAAGTTACAGCCCAATAGGCGCTGGAAAGCAGCAGTGTCAATAGCAAAGGCAGGAAGTTTGGGGAGCTGGGAGTGTGGGGAGCTGATAGATTCTTCTTGCTCTACCCTTTCTACGCACGGTTCTCCTTCCAGAGCCCCCTCTGGACTCTACTGGTTTCTCAGCACCGCTTTCTCTGGCCCAGGAGAGCCTCTTTCTGAGACAGCACCAGCATAACAAGAGTCCACCTTACCTGTGGAATCAGACACAAGACAAGCACGTTCCCCAGAGGCGCCTTGGTGAACGCTCTGCCACTTCAAGATTCAGCTCGTGCGCCTGAACCGTATCAGTTTATGAAAAGCTTGTTTGAAGTCGTCATTGGACATGGTATAGATGATGGGGTTGATGAGGGAGTTGAGATATCCTAGCCAAGTAAAGAAGTCAAAGATGGCCAGGTGGAACCAGCAGGCGTCATCGCAGATAGGCAAAGCCAGGGAGATGATAAAGAAAGGCAGCCAACAGACGATAAAGGCTCCTAAAATTATCCCAAGCGTTTTGGTGGCTTTTCGCTCCCTAGCGGCCATGAGCTTCTTCTTTTCCAGGAAAGTGTCAGAGACTTTCACCTTTACTTGGTTCACAAACACTGGGGACCCCGATTCACTGGATCCCTCGGGCGCTCGAGAGTTAATGGAAGTGGCAGAGGAAGAGGATCCCGGGGAGTCAGTGATCAGTTGGGCCCGGGTCAGGCGTTTGCCCGTCCTGTTGGGCGTCTGTTTCAAAATCCGAGAACGAGCTTCCACATAGATGCGACCATAGAGGGCAATAAGCAGCAGTGTGGGGAAGTAGAAGGCGCCCACAGTGGAGTAGACGGTGTAAAGGATATGGTCTGTGTTCACCAAGCAGTCTGCTACCTCCTCAGCCTTAGCCTGGCGCCAGAAGAGTGGGGGCATGGAGATGGACACGGAGAAGACCCACACCATGGCAATCATCCCCGCGGCTCGCTTGGGAGTCCTTTTAGCCGAATACTCCACCGCGTCTGTAATGGCCCAGTAGCGGTCCAGAGCGATGGCACAGAGATGCAGGATGGAAGCTGTGCAACAGGTAATGTCCGAGGACAGCCAAAAATCGCAGACAATCTGGCCAAGCGTCCACCTACCGGTGACCGTGTACATGGTGCTGATGGGCATCACCAGGATAGACACAAGCAAGTCAGTAACTGCTAGGGAGGCGATCAGGTAGTTGGCAGGAGTGTGCAGCTTCCTAGTCCGAGAGACCGTGGCGATCACAAAGGCATTGGAGAGCGTGGTGGCCAAGGTGATAAGTGCAAGTAATGTGGCCAGGACCACCTTCCAAGGGAGTGCAATAGAGTCCTGGTATGGCCCCGGAGAGCTACAGTTGGGATTCGGGAAGGTAGAATGATTAGTCTGCGGGGAGGTCAGGGAGCCAGAGGCCGGCTGGGAGCACTGAAGGCTAGGCTGTTCCATTGTGTCCCTCGCCCTGCTTCGAGAGCAGGTGGCGTACAGCTTCTGATCATGGACTGACTATATAGCCTGCTAGCCAGGAGGGTGGAGATTGATGTAGGGAGGTTGGGTCCGTGGGGAGGGATAAATGATCTCTCCCTGACAGCCAATCCTATCCAGGAGTTCCTCTGGCAGTGGGACAGCCCAGACACCCAGCTGCTGCGGGAGCGCTAAAGAGGTCACGGGTGCGGCAGGCAGCCCTGCCAAGTAGGGCGCGTCCCCAAATACACTGTCCCCATACCCTCGATCGCTGACCTCTCCTTACCTAACCCTTGAGAGGCAGTTGAGTACCTTCCTCTCTTTTGCCTCGCGTTCAACCCCAGGGACACACAGCGTCTCCAGCCCTCAGCTCTTCTAGCCAGCAGCCTTGGATCCCCCAGTCTTACTGATCCTTGGAGAAGGCGTACTTCTACTTCGCTCTGAAGCTCTCAGATCTTCCGAGCGCGCGCTCGGAGGCTGGTTAGTCTGCTTGTTTTCTTTTCTTCCTTTTTCCCCCCCAAGAAGTGTTCCTTTACCCAAATGCCCCAAGGACTCCCCACTCTGGTCACTGGAGTTTCAAGTCACAATGATGGAGAAAAGGAGGTGAGGATAGCATCCTCCAGCCCGTACCTTCTGTCCTCCTTGTTCTCGCATGCTAGCTCCAGAAATCGGAGAGAAGCCCCGAGGCGAAGGCGAAGCCTTTGGCTCCGGATGGGGGTATGCCCAAGAGGGAGGCTGCCTGAGTTGCTTCTCCCTGCCTTGCCCCGGTATCTCTCCACTGCCTTCTCGATTTCTCTTCACGCTCCCGCGACGGGAGCCACTTGCCCCGCAGAGAAACTGCAGCTGGTGGAAGGAGAAGGGGGCCGGGCCAGGGGCCAAGGCTCCTGCTCAGCGGTTGACTCCGCCCTGCGGGCACTGCTCCGTGCCATCCCACCAGTCCTCTCACCGGGTCAGGAAGACCTGGGGCTGTAGTGTTCGTACTTGTGCTGGTGCAGGTGCCTGCAAGAGCAAGTGAAGAGAGATAGAGTATAGTGTGAGAACAGCAGCGCTGTCCACCCTCCTTATATAGAGTGCTGCGCTACCCAGCCCAAGCCCTAGCCTGGCAACTCGTGCGGCTGCCGCCCGCTGGAGTGCGGACTCAGGGTCCCCGCCCCCAGCACCCTCCCTTTTTTCTGCTCTCCCTCCCTCTCTTGTCTCCCCAGGAGGCTCCCGCAGGGTCCTAATGCCGAACAAAAAGCATTACCCACCCACTTCCACCTAGAGCCTATATCCTAACCCGGGATGCAACTGCAGAATTCCTGGTTTTAGTGCAGGCCCCCCTCCCCACCCCTTAATATTTTCTGGTCTCTTAGACTCACGCCCTCCTCACCGCAGGCTCCATACAGCTCGAATAAAGCGCTCCTGCTTTATTCCCCCTCTCCCTAGATCCTCCCTGCAGACTGTGCCTAGGTATTCAGAAACCTCTGTAGGATCAAAAGTCTAGCCCACCCCAAGATGCGGTGTACCTCCCAAACCCACAGCCCCACCCTAGATGGGAGGCAAACGATGGGAACAGGGATGGTGAAGAGGCAAGTGAAGAGAGAGTGGGGAGGGATGACCTGAGGATTAAACTCAATATATGAAATTTCCTAATTAAGTCAAGAAATTTAATTGGGTGTGAGGAGATGATTAAGCCATTCACAATTGTTTGTTCAATAAAGACTGCCCCCCCCATTGGATCTTACATAATAACGTGCACCTTTCATTCACAGACAAAGCCCCGTTTAACAATAAAGAAAAATTAGTCTTTATTGAACAGGAAGGTCAATCCTTTCTTGTAATTAAATAAACCCCTGTTTCTTTCTCAAGTTTCCTCACGTTTCTTTTAGGATATTTGAAAACAATGCACGGAGACTATAAGCATACTTTCTAACAGAGTCTAGAGTTAAGATAAAGGATACTTAACAGTGAATCAATTTGCATTAATAAGCATAGCGTCTGTCAACTTGCTGCTTCTTCGTCACCTTTTATCATCATCCACCTCATCAAAAAGCATTTATTAGGTACTTAGGCTGGGGTGAAGGTGGAGAAGTGGGGGAGTAAGATTTGGTATAAGTATAATTAGACTTAAAAACTTAAGACCTACTATTAAGGACACTGGCTTAGAATAAAGACATTAAACCGCCACCTAACGAATGGACAGGCTGCTTTTATCATTTGGAGATCAGGTCAAGGCTATATATACATATATACATATATGTGTGTATATATACATGTTATATAGATAGATACAGATTACATAAATAGATAAAAAGATGTCAGGAATGGGGTCACAAGATCACCACTCCCTCTACTCACTTTGAAACAAGACCTTTCTCCTCCCTCACACCCACCACTCAGTCTCTCACCCCACCACACTTAGCACCTAACTGGTAACTACTCACTATGCATGACTTGTTTCTACTGATTCCGGGGCAAAATCCAAAGACAGTACCTCTTCGAAAACATCAGCAGCTTTGCTCAGCTGCAGGCAAATTCTGAAGGGACAAAATTTGTTGGGAATCCCAGAGGTGGTGACTTTACCTTTATTAGTCTTGGGCTCCTGTGGAGGTTGAGAACCTTTCCTGGGTCAGCCCTCCTAAAGGGTGAGAGGGCACAAAAGAGGAGGGGCCATCAATATCTAGGGAATGAGGTGTTGTCTGAGTTCAACTGCCATTGTTTTATTCTGTCAAGGTGAAAGAGGAGAAGCAGCACAAGCTTTATCTATGTGGAAAGTGCCTTGGGTGACATCTATTTGTGCTACACTATCCAGAAAGCAATGGAGGGCTGTATATAATAATCTGGACAGTTGGTTCAGCCCTCCTCTTATGGATTGTGTTTGATATGCTGCAAGGTTCTTACCCCCACTTTCTCTCTTTTCTCTCTCTGTCTCTCTGTGTCTGTCTCTCTCATTATCTCTCTCCCCACCCCCCTCACAAGTAACACATTAGATTTTTCTCAGAGTTCACTAGAGAATCATATTTAATTGAAATACACACATCAATTCCATACTTTAACATTTTTAATATTAAAAAATGTATAAAATATAAATATACCATAGGTGTTTGTACATAGCCTCCTTGTTTATTTATAAATCTCTCTTGATATAGATATGTGTGTATGCCTACCATCTTTATTTTGTAAATCTAATATATGCCATCCTGTATACATATTTTTGCCCACCTGCATTTACTTTCATTGGAAATCTAGTTTGCCTACGTACATCCACAAACTAGCTGCTCCTCATTTACTATCACATCCGTTTCATTTGGCTATTTCTTTCCCTAAAGTTTGCAGGGAGCCAATGAGCCCCGAGCTCAACAAGTGGGTCCCAGGTGAGAGGGAGAGTGAATCTGGCAGAAGCCAGCGGGTAAAGGAGGAGGGCTAGCCTAGCAAAACTCCGCTTTAATGATCTGACCAAATCCCACCCATGGTTGACTACAGGGCAATAAACCCCGTAATATATGCTTGCTCTCTCAGATCACAGGTCGCCATGGTGTCAAGCATTCTGGAAGAAGCCACCCAGTCAAGGGAGGGTGGCGCCCTGTTAAGAGCCCAGCCCTGAGGTTGGAATTAGACGCTCAGATACCTTCTCTCTGGGCATGGGAAGGAAGCACCTACTGGACAAGATGGAAGAGGGGCGAAATGCGCTCCCTCTCTCCAAGGTCTCCCTAGTGGGGCCAGAGAACGAAATTCAAGAACTGGCTGGGACAGTAAAGGAGGGAGCACTAGAGACAGCAGAGCCCAAGCCCTGGTCCCAGGGTGCCCGCTATTCTGAGCCTTTTCCCTCAATTAAGCTCTTCTTTCCTTTTCTAAGTCATATTCAGATCTTGCTTTAGAGAATGTGTTTACGGAAGCTTCTCTGTTTTTACTAGTGAAGTGAAAGGAGTTTAGAAGAATCTGTAGGAGAAACCACGTGCATTTATATAGCTGGATAGCCCCCGTTTCAAAGCTAGAGGATTCCAGTCCCCTCTGGGGATTGAAATGGAGGAGAAAAGAGGAGAGAGGGGAAAACGCTCCATCACTCACTAGCTTTCTGACCGTAGAAATCCCCAAGGCACTAGTGACCACCTGACTTTTGCAAGCTGCTCAGCCTGTCTCGCGAGCTGTTCCTTCTGGCGAGTGCACATTCCACAAAATCATCAGCGTCTTTCAGTTGTGCTGTAAATAAACGGCTTAGAGTCTCGGTGACCAACCAACCCTGAAAGTTAGCAGTGACTAAAACCAAGAGACTTTAGAAGTAAAGGTCTATTGGTGCTGGTTGTCAGTCCTTTTCTAAATGCCTGTGACACTTACTGAAGGAATCTGATCCCATGAGCATATAAAGGGTAGGCAGAAAGAACTGCATAGTAGAAGATGCTGAATAGGGTTCTTTATGTACTTCTTACCCATCTATGGGTTTCTATCTCAATCAATGACATTCCAGGCTACAGAACTTGGAATTCCATTTCTGATAGATATAATGTATAATCTTGGTAGACTTTACTTCCTTGGTGGAGTGGGGCAGGTAGATCACAAAGGAGGTACTAGTAATTATTAACTTCAAATATACTGGGAAATGCTTTGTCTGTGATTTCATCCCCTTAGGAAATTCCATGTGAGGAACTTCATTTATCAAACGAAATCAGCAACTTTTCTGTAGCATTGGAGTAGCCTGTGGGCAGTGTAGGGTACTGAGAGTTTAGGTGACTTGCCCAGGGTTACACTGCCAGTATGTGTCAGAGGCAAGGCTTGAACACAGGGTTTTTGACTCTCAGGCCAGCTTTCTATCCACTATGCTACACTGCCTTTCTGTGGAAATATACACCCCATATATCACAGCAGCCCCTCCACTACTGCAAAAATTGGTTAGTGCTTATATTCATATTTCAAATATATTTTTGATTTATGTCCCTGGATTAAGAATCCCCTTTTTACTATTGAAAGGAAAGTTACACCAGGTAGATTGCTACAGAAATGAAGGTGTCTCCAAGAAAGATTTCATTGTCCTCACTAAATGGGATTGAAGCAGGGGGAAGAGAGTTTGGAAATAGAGAAAGGGAAAGGAAAAAGGAAGGTATAGGGGGAGAAGACAAAA